AACATTCTTCCTCTGCTTGCATTCATTCATTACAGTTAGCTCTGTTGTCCTGCTGTAAGTCGCTATGAGTGAAGATATATCTGTATTGATTGTTGGTACTGATGAAGGGAGCTTTAATGTTGTGGTTGCTGATAGTTTTGAAGCCTTTCAGCAGACAACCGTCAGAGAGCTTAAACATAAAATTAGCAAGGTAAAGAAAGAACTAGTACCAGATTCTGTGCGTTTAATATTCGGTTCGAAGCAGCTTGAAGATAGTAAGACTCTTAAATTTTATAATATTCAAGAAGACTCTAGTATCATTGTTGTCACACGTGTTCATGGAGGTGCTACACTGGAAGAAACACCACCTGCTACAATTGACAAGGAGTACCCAAGTGATTTTCCATTAAAATTCACTGATGAGCCTGATTGCTTGGATCCATTTCCTCCTGAAGCGGACTCACCAAAGCGAGTCAAAATGAAATGTGGTCATGCTGTTGAACCAAACAACCTCACAGCTTTTATTAGCTCAGAGATTAGCCAACGACGTTTTGTGTTCAAATGTCCAGCAATCATCAATAAAGCCACTAATGAAGCATGTGGTGCTGAATGGGATTATGCTGATATTCGCCTTGCTGCAATGCTTACTAATGATGAAAAGAGATATTTTGAAAAAAAGATATCAGAATATGCAGCACATCAGCACTGTGAATTCAAAAAATGTCCGTCCTGTCGAGCGTTTGTCGAAAGGATAGAATTAGATAATCTCAATGTCAATTGCCCTTTCTGCACTAAAAAAAAAGGTAGTAGATTTGACTTCTGCTGGCAATGCCTGAAAGAATGGACTGGACCAACAAGAGCTGCTACACAATGTGGCAATCCAAATTGCGTTCATGAAGATATGTCAGTGATTAAAAATGCTCCTGAAGTTACAGTTTGTGGTCAAAGTGTTCCTAATTGTCGTGCTTGTCCAACTTGTGGCAAAGTTTCAGAGCATACTACACAGGCCTGTAAGAATATAGTTTGTCCTCGTTGCAAAAAAGAGTTTTGTTTTCTTTGCCTGGAGCTAACGGTAGATTGTCAGAAGAGTGCACCAGGTTCCTGGTATAAAGCATGTGCTAAAGGTATAGCTCCGAGACAAACCAGCATCCCCAGTTGGTCTCGTCATTAACAATTATAATTTTAAGTGTTGGTGTTGTCTAATGTGTGCATGTATACTTAGTCTATCTACTAAAGACATTTAGTTTAGAGAGTTCAGTAGTGTGACTAATTATAAATAATTTATTGGGCGAAGCCCACTAAGATGAGTAGAGTTTGTTTGTTTGTCTGTACACGTACGTATTCCGTATCTCCTCTATATATCCGCACATGCCTAGCAATGCAATAGATTCTAAATTTCAATATTTCATTGAAAGTGGGAGTGGCCGAAAGATAATAAAATGGCGATCAGCACACGGGAATCAGAAGTCATGATTTTCCTACTTCCTAGCAACAAAATAAGGCAAAAACACCGTCCAAAGACTTCTCCAACTGCTTGAAAGGTTACAGGTGCAATTAAGTAACTATGAAACTCTTTTTCGTTGAGATAAACTGTGAAATCAAACAAATGTCACCTCTGTCACTGACTGCACTAAACTTGCCAGCATTTTTATATCTTATGGCTATTTTAAAGTCAGTGTAGCAAGGCTTAAAGTAAAAAAACAAGTCAAGAGTTTTCTAGCAGCAACATAAAGTTGAGATTCTGCTTT